TATAATTTATTTAATTTTAAATTGTTATTTTTGTAATAGATATATAATTGTCTGACTTGTATTTGCAACAAAGAAAAATAAATTTACATTAAAAACACATGTATAATTAATATTGTAACTAAACAATTTATAGTTTTTATCTCATATATATTTTTAAATGTGTAGTTAACATAAAAATATCTTTTACAAGTCTTATTATATGCAATAAGCATGGGTGTTCTCACTATGAGTATATGGGGAATAGAATCCCCTACGATGAAAATAAATATATGATAATGATATATTCTGGAACGATAGTAAAAACATATCTTATGTATATCTCCCCCAAGACGAAACCCTTAAATCGCCATTAGCAATATAGTTCAAAATTAATTGAATCAGAAAAATCTTGGCTTATCAAAGTCAGTTTAACGAAAATTTTACACAATGAAATCTACTTGTTTACGTTTTGTAATAAGGTAACATAACCAATATAAGACATATTAAAAAATGTCATCGTATCTCTATAGTCAGAAAGTAAAACTTCATACACAACAATTTTTTTTTTAATTATTGCTCGTTCCACATAAATTATTTAAAAAACTTAATCGAATGTCTCGGGATTTGTTTTCTTCTGGGAGTATATTTACATAAAAACATTTTTCACTACTCTTCAAGCAAAAAAAAAATGAATTTTTACCAAATCAATAAATTTGTTCTGGAGAGAGATCTATCACTATATTCCTCCTTAATTACTCCCCTAAAAAAGAAAGTTTTGTTTATTTCAATTATTTTAATGTTGGTGTTTTTTTTAATCTTATTTTACTAGAGCAATTTATTACCGTGATAATGGGTAATGGATGTCAGATAATTATTACATTACAAATATATAGTTTTTTAATTTTAAATGGACAGATACAGTGACAGATCAAACATTGATTTTGGTCGTGGACGTTCGTACGAATTAATATTTGGATTGGAAGGAGTCGTATTTTTAAGGTCCAAACTGATTTTTAGTTCTTAATAATAACTATGATATTATATTTACATTGACGTATTTCCGATATTTACTATTTAACTTAAAACCGGGAAAATTTTTCTACCTGAATTGGTTGTAATAAGAAACAATTTGAGCCTAGGTGGCCATTTTTATTCATACGTAAACAAATTGCATTTTTTTGTTCAACATTATATACCAGAAATAGGTCATTACATAAGATATTGTGTTATATAAAAATACGTTTCAAAAATATGCGATTTCAACCCTTGTAGATTCTAATTTTTAGTTACACTAGATGATTGTAATAAAAGGAGAATTTCCAAATTTCAAATTATTTAGCCGAGAAAGTCCTACTTGATGAACTACAGTGAGGGTTGCATTGAAATAAAATATTTTTGTCATTGGTCACACTGAAAAACGATGACATCGGCACACGCATTTCAGATATCGACACAAATTGTTATCACCGCTTTGCACAAACTTAACTGTTGGCACTTTTTAAACTAGTCTAGATCCTAATTTTGTATTGTGTTTGAATTTTACTTGTTAGTGATTTTAGTTTATTTAAGAAAAAATCTACTATATAATTAAATTTAAATTACTTCTTAATTATTGAAACAAAATGAAATCTTATAGATGTATTTTATACGCTCTGTCTCTTTTTGCTATGACTTCTGCTGCTGCCGCAGCTTGTAAGTACACTGTAGATTCATACACGACTACTGATGCCATAATCGTTTCTGAAGCAGCCTTTATTGCTCAAATTTCTGTCGATTGTCAAGATGCTCCATCTAATTTATATGCTGAAGTTGAAGGTAAATTAATTGCTGCTGCTGATTTAGGGCCTAACCGTTATCAAGTAAGTGAACTCATTTGATATATATTAATTAAATCTGTTATTATTGTAAGAAATATTTATTCAAGGTGAGTTGGTTAGATGATTTTAAAAAGGCACATCGTGGAGATTATGTTGTTAATTTATATGATGAAGTTGGCTATGGTCAATTGAGAAAATTGTTACGTGATGGTGAATCTACAAGCAGTGTCACACCAGTCCACACAGCATATGTTAGGTATCCTGGAGCATACAAAGGAGTATGGGTTAATTCTGAGTTTTTGGCAGCTCTTGTTAGTATGGTTGTATTGTACATTGCCTATACGTTCAAGTCCAAAATTGTATCATAATATATTATAGCAGAATTTAATTGAATCATTTTGAAGTCTGTTTTCTCTAAGTTATATTTTTAATGTTCATCCTATACATTAATTAAATATATAATAACAATTGAACTTGGTTTGTTTTTGTTATTAAATTAAATAGTTCTACATTAGTCTTAATATGTTCATTTATAAAAAAATTACACTAAATATATTTTATTTTTATAAATTAGAATTTCATTTTGTAATTTTATAATTTATTAAGGCTTAACAATTATTTACAAAATAGATGATTAGTAAAACATATTGTACATTTCCCATAAATTATAAATAGTTAATCAATAATCTTAAAGTATTAATTGTAAAAATAGAAATTTTTAACTTAGAGAATTGTCATAATTTTATTCACAACATATAATGGGATAATTAATATTTTACAACCTATCTTAAGTAGAGTACAGTTATTATTCAATGTTTTAAAATTTTGTTATGAAATATATATATATTTTTTTAAGTAAAAGATATAAAACTTAAATACATTGTTTATATATCAATATTGATCTAAACCTCGAACATACTTTATACAAAATAAAAAATTCAGTTATACTTTTCTTCAATAATTTGTATTTAATAAAAAAGTAATTAAAGTAAATTTCACTTTATTTTATTCAAGATTAAAACCATAAAGTTACTAATTTTTGTGATTGTAGCTATTGATTTATTCTTAGTTCTTACAATTTAAACAAAATATAATTTATATTATTGATAATCATTTTAATATATTTTTAAAATGTAAATTAATTAATTAAAGATAAATAATAAAAAATATTTTATAAAATAATATAATTAATATTTATAATTATATAAATGAGTTGAATAAAGTAATAATATAAGATAATATGGCATAACATTAATGGCAAGACCTTCCTATGTACATTTTTTTATAAAATAGACTTAGGTTATTAATTTTCATGATCTGTTTGCAGTTGACTTTGCCAATTATTATTACTCTTATTAAATACATTTCTTCCCAAATAAAAATGTTATGATACATTTTGTTGTATGATATAATTTTATACATATATATAAACTAAAAAAAATAGTTGTTTTGTAAATATTGTTTTATAAATTTTCAATGATCTTTCAAATTTTAAACCAATAATAAAAAAAAAAATTTAAGCGTAGATATAAAGTACTGTCATTACACTGTAATGTAATAGTTTTTGACAATGGTTAATCAATAGTATTTTAATTAAGTCCTTTATTAATAAAGTTTTTGAAATCACACCAATGAAATAACATATATTAGCTTTTTAAAATGTATCTATTATAATAATTATTTTATTTATCTAATTTAATATAAAAGTATTTATATATAACTCGTAATAACAAAACTTTAATTCATTACTTAATGTTTATATTCAGAAGTTACCAGTGAGTAAATACAAAGTGATGATGTATCAAAATTTATCATACTACTATTGAAATTAATATAGATATTTCAATATTGAGATTTGAGATTATTTTGAAATGCATAGCTCAGCCCTGCTCTATTTAAATTAAAAATATGAAACCTGCTAAAATTAATACAAAAATACATCAAAACTTTTGAAACTGTTAGATTAAAATTTATTTTAGCTTCGATGCGAAACTGAGAAGGCATTAATTTTACTACGATGCGATTTTTTTTTTTGTGTCTGTTACCATTTTTCTCATCTTTCACAGGACCAATTTCTTTCAATGACACGTCAAAAGATCACAAATCGTATTTAGTTAAAGACTAAAAATTGAAAAAAATTCTCTCATTTTTAAAAATTTCATATTTATATTTTTCGTTTATAGGAACGTGTTTATTGTCCTGTCGTAATAATTTTTTCGACAGGCGTACGACGGTAATGACTGTATTGCTTAAGGTGATTTGTAAATTTTGTAGTTGATTGTTAATCGAAACATGTAATTTAACAGCCATTGTGATTAACGTAGTTTTTAAATGTCGATTTTTAATTATAACGGCGGAATTAAACGGAATCCTAATGGATTTATCAAACGGCAATGCATATTTGTTATTCAAACACAAAAACCTGTGTGTTTGACATCTTTACAACAATTGTAATCGATATAATTTTTAAATTGTTGATACAATCGTGGTAATGGCAGTATTAATTTGACTTTGAAAGTTTTTGAACCACGTTTGTCGTCTGGAGGACTTCTCGAATAATGATTCAGAGATGACCTAGGTCTGGCTCTAATTTATAATGGTTGTATTACACAGGTAAGTGATTTTATTTCGTTTGATAAAATTAATTTTATTTTAGCTTCGATGCGAAGTTGAGAAGGTACTAATTTTACTATGATGTGTTTTTTTTTGTGTCTGTTACCACTTTTCTCAGCTCTCACCGAACCGATTTCTTTCAATGATACGTTAAAAGATCACAAATCGTATCTAGTCGAAGACATTACCCTTAAAAATTGAAAAAGATTTTTTTTCAAATTTTGAGGGTAATGTCTTCAACTAGACACGATTTGTGATCTTTTGACATATTTTTCATCAAAATCGATTCAGTAAGAGCTGAGATTGAGCGTATACAGACAAAAAAAAAATAATAATAAAAAAACACATCATAGTAAAATTAATACCTTCTCAGCTTCGTATCGAAGCTAAAAGAAACCCAAATTATTTACATATTAACTAATAAAAAATGAACACATCAAACAAATTTTTATCTATAAAATAAAATTATTAATTCTAAATATAGAAGTATCCAAGTTATGACAAAAATTGAAAAAAAAAAAAATAAAAATAATAGATTTTTGGTACAAATTTAAATATTAGTGTTTTTAATTACATAACAGTAAAAAAAATTCAAATTGCACTTGGCAAGTAGTACATATCAAGTATATATATACAATTTTCTTTTTAATTTATTTAAGGAAATAATGTTATCAAACAATTAATCATAAAAACTGTTACATATGATTATGTTTTGGCAACTTAGGTAACAGTGCTTTCATAACAGCATCATAAAAGTTTTATAAATTGCACTGGAATCCAATTTTAATATTTCAACATATTAAGTTAATTAGGTAAAAGAAAAAATAGAAAGAAATTAATTGGTTAAACGTTAAAAAATTTAAATTTTAAAAAGCAAAAATTATATTTTCATAGTANAAAATTTTAAAAAGCAAAAATTAATTTTTTATAGTAGAGGAATATAACAAAGCAACATAATGCTAATTAAACCCCAACCTCTTTAATGTATTTTTACTATCTAGCCGTGATGTTCCGCCATCACCAGCTCATGTTTTAGACTTGGATCTAAATAATCTAAGTTCTTTTTTATGTGCTGGATCTAACATAGCTCGGTAGTTAGATGGCTCACACAAGTGCCTATATTTACTGAAAAATTTACAATAACCCCAATCTAGCAAATACATTTCTGGATAGTCCAAATATGGATAGCACATACTATTATTCTCTCGATCAGCATTACATAAATATCGTGATCTGAAAAATGTAAAAATAATTTTTAAAACTAAGTATATCATAGTTTCTTATGATATTAATGGAAACTATAATAGATGAAATTAAAAAAATTATAATACATATAATTATGGAAATAAGAAATTATTAATTTAAACCTATTAAAAATTATTTACAAGGGGTTTACGCTGCTATAATTCTGTTACAATATTTTAAAATTTTTAACAACTTTTCATTTGTAAATTAAAAATATAGTTGAATTATAGTTTTTGTTATTAGAATTTGTAAAAGTTTAAAGATTTTTTTTAAACAGAAAAATACATTTAATGTACCTTAATTTTTTCATAAGTACAAATGTTATTCAGATTAAATAGTTGTTGGAACTTATTATAAATTTATTATAGGAGCTTTGCTGTCATATAAGAAGAAAAATAATGACATTATTATAAATTAGAATGTTTATAAAAAAAATACTCAAAATATATTACAGTATAAATCTTCTTTAGTATTCAATCTTGAGATTGGTTTGTAGCAATTCTCCACTCTTCCCCGTTACGCGAAATGTATTGTGCGTATGCTAATATTTTTTGAAGTAAAAAGTCCTCTCTTTTCGTTAAATGCTATCTTAGCTTGGCATATTAGCTTTACTATTCCTTTTTACTTCAGCTATCCTTACTTACTATGCTTCCCAAGTATGCGAACAAACTCTTCTACTTGCTTTATTTCTTGTCCTAATATTATTGCTCCTGCTGCATACGAGAACTTTGGTCTTTTTCGTATATTTTTTTTTATGCTCAGTTTATTGAACAGAGTTTCTTCCATACACCTTAGCATCTTTTACAATTCTTCTTCATTTTCAACTATGACTGCTATATCGTCTGCAAACCGTAGCATATCGATTTTCCTGCCATTTATCTTAATACCCAAATGTATTTTCTCTCTTATTATGTCAATTGCCTCCTGGATGTATGCATTGAATATGCTAGGTGAGAGAGTACAACCCTGCCTTACTCCTTTTCTTATACGTGCTTCTTCCTCAGTTTCGCCAAATCGTATAACAGCTGTTTCCTTCTGGTATAGTTTAAAGAGTAGTCTCCTTTCAGTGTATTCTATACCCGCTTTTTTAAGCATCTTGAACATTATTGCCCAATTGACATTGTCGAATGCTTTTTCTATATCAACAAAAGCTATGTATGTAGGCTTATCTTTTCTAATTCTTTTCTTGTTAATTATTCTTAAAGCTAGTATTGCTTCTCTTGTACCCACGTTTTTTTCTGAACCCAAACTGGTTTTCTGATAATATGGCTTCGATCTTATATTCCATTCTTCTTGACATAATTATTGTCAGTATTTTTGACACATGTTTCAGCAAGCTAATTGTACAGTACAAATCACATTTGTTTGCGGTTGCTTTTTCGGGATAGGAATAATCTTACACTTAGTAAAGTCTAGAGGAAGTTCTCCTGAGTTAAATATCTCCTTTATGAGTTTAAATAACTCACTGCGCATGTTTTCGCCAGGTTTTTTTCAAAGTTCTGCTTGGATTTTGTCAATTCTTGCAGCCTTCTTTNGACCAAAATAATATGCCGCAATCATTTGAATATAATGAAATCAACAAATAAAATAACAAATTGAACATTGATGTATGAAATTTTAATTTAAAAGTTTTTCAAAAGGAATAGTATCAAAATCATGAAAGTGGTAAACAAAATAAAAATGTGATCTCTTAGTTCTTAAGATTGTTTTATTTTTTATTTATAAATCACATTGAATATCAAAATAAATCTTTCTTTAATAAAAATATTTGAAATGCTATTGAAAACATTTGACATGGTGACTTTGTTTACAACTTTTTATCGATTCTGTTGAGTAAATAACTGCCGTCTACATGTATATGTTACATACATATCAATTTTTGTATTGACTTTTGAAAAATTCCTATTAAAATATTTTTCTACATTTTACTTAGACAAACTCTACTAAACGTTAATCATGTTTTGGAAATACGACTTGAAATAATATTAAGTAACAGCTGTTGATATTATTATTCTCCAGTTTTTAATGATAAAAATGGATATTTTCAATTAATTGAGTTATTTTTACATTTTATATTTTTTTAAATTTACAGTCTGTATATCATATATAGAATATTTAATATTCATCTTACTATGTTAACATTACTATTTATCAAAATTCTATGTATGTAACAGTACTTAAAAAAAAAAGTTAGTTTTTTTAAATTAGACTAACATTATTTTTGTATTAAACAATTCATTAACATAAAATATAGTTCTATTAACATATTTATTCTATTTAAACAAGTTAGGTCAGTTTAGGCCAGTAGGGCATTAATCTAAATCACAATGAGTTTTATTTTATCAAATACTTCAAAAATCCGAACTTGAACTATTATTTATTAATTAATGATTTTTT